TTGAATTCTTTTTGGTAAATAAATTTGTTCCCATTTTTTCCTGTGCTTCTCTGATTTTTGGCTCGGTTCATCACAGGAGGTTTGTTTTGTTCCACAGAGAACCGGGACTCGTTTTAACCACCACACTCCCCAGCTTTAACAATGACCATAAACAATAACCTCAGATCCCAGCAGCTTCTTATTACAGGAACAATGGAAGCCAAAGTCGATGACTCAGGTGTTTGTCTGCTATCTTTAGCTCTAAAGCTGCTTTTACACTGAAACCAGAAGACTGCTTTCCTGCGGTTTAATGTTTGCCGTTATGAAGCGTTCAGGACGTTTAGGTGCAAACTGACCTCCTGCAGAGCAGCGGATGCGATGCTCCTGGTTCTGCATCTGGCAGCAGCAGTGGCCCAGCTGCTCAGGGATGGTTCCCACTGCAAAACAAAACACCAGCATGAAGTCTGGGCCTCACACAGGGCCGCTGGGTAAGAACCGCAGCTCACCGAGAGGCGAGGGCGAGTAGGGCCGGGAGCTGCCCGTGGAGAGGCGTCGGCACGCTGGCTGGGGGGCATCGGCTGAACTGGGAGACCCACAGCCCGCCTTGGGAAAGCCCATAGGACTGGTGTTGGAGCGCCTGACGGTTCCTGACCTGGGAAACAAACCGTCAACCAGAGAAAAAGATTTTTCTTCAGCTTTCAGACATATTTACAGGATCAAATCGTCTCCCTGAGCTCATGGTTAACAGAACCCGCTGCAGCCGAGGACGGACATTACAGCCCGCCCTGCAAAATCAACCCACAAATGAGCAAAAAGCTCTTTCATTTTTCAATTTCTTAAAATAAGATAATTTACACTTGATATGAGACACTGAAATGATGTTTTTCTTATTTGAAATTATCTTGCTCCATTGGCAAAGTGTCGCACTTCCTCAATTTAAGAAAAAAAAAACACTTTTAAGAAAAATGGACTGAATTTAGATTTACATTTTTTTGCAGTGCGTTTAACCCGTTCAGTGTCTCATTATCCCAGAGGAATCTTATGAGCTGCGTTCAGCAGCTTGGTTCTGATGCAGTAACAGAGTCTTTTCATGTGTGAACGAATCTCTCAGACAGCGATACGCTCAGATCGTCAACGTTAACCCCCCCACAGGTGAAAGGGCGGGTTTACCTGGGGGAGCTGTAGACAGCAGAACTTGGGCTGCTGGACAGGTTCTGCTTGATCCGCTGGTAGTTGCGCACCTGGGTGGGAACAGGAATGGGGGTGGTTTCCGCCCGCGGGGAGACCATGGCCGCCTGTCCCTGGGGGGGCTGCGGCTGCCTGGGAAAGAAGAAAGGAGGCTTCAGGCTGTAGATCCCACGTGGAGAACTTTGTCATGGCTGCTCAGACTCATAATATAAAACTCTGCTAACAGCACAACACATCTCTCTGCTCTAGTTCTGCAATCGTTGGGTCTTTGTTTGAGCTGCTGAAGTCAGAAAGTGAGAGAAAACAAAGAGGCTGGACTTCCATGTAAACACAGCGAGTCCACCAATCAGCTCTGAGCACACTGGGCTGGGGGCGGGGCTACAGTTGGACCAGAGCACAGTGCTATCAAACGGGCGGGGGTGGGGGGTGTTGTTCTGTAGAGGACATGGTGTTCCTCAGCAGCAGCCGTGACCCAGTGACCCAACAGGGAGCCTTTGTCACACAGCCGGCAGGGGAGGAGCTTCTCCAAACACTGGGAGGTTCTACGGGTCATGTGACGGAGGACTAGTCCAGACAAAGAACCACAGAGCAAAGAGCTGCACTCTGACATGTCTGCACCAAACACCCTCCCCTCCACCTTCCTCCTGTCATCCATAAACACACGGGAGGCTTCGGCGTCAGACGAAGGAGGGAAGGAAACATGGAAACCAGTTTACAGCGAGCAGAAGAGCAGGACAGGAGTCAGCAGCAGGGCGGCCATTCTCTGACAATCACTTCCTGTTTAGAGAAATCCACACTCTGCTTCCCTTCATCACCGACTGCAGCCAAGAAACACTTTTACAAATCAGGAGCTTCAGTCTTACTGCCATCGATAAAGAGGAAACTCCTGGATCATCAGGAAAGTTTCTTCCAGGGTTTAAATCATTTATGCAACAGTTTCAGATAAACAGGAAGCAGCGAGAAGAACGGGAGACGAATGTCCAGAGGAGGCAGACGGAGAAGACAGAAAAAACGTATCCAGATCTGAGACATTCTTCCACATTTCCACCTCCATGGATGTTAAAGCTGTGAAGGGTTTTATTCTACGTCTTCACTCCTTAGAAAGCCAGAGCTCCCCACTGTAGCTCTGAAAACACCCAGGAATGTGTTCCTGACCTGCAGGCTGTTCAAAATGTGAGGCCTTTACAGAAGTTTGAATTATGAAGCAAACAGAAGCAGCCAAGAGGTGCTTTGAGACTCTGGGGGAGCTGCAACCACCAGAGCTCAGCTGTTAGCTGTGATCCCCACAAATCTGACCTCTATGGAAGAGTGGAAACAATTACTGATGAATAGACCAGATATACTGAGAGGCACAATATATTAGAGAACTTAGTGGAGGATGCTGGAGATCCTTTAAGACAACAAAAAAAAAAAAGAGCAAAACTGGTGGAGGGCAGCGAGCAGTGAGGAGATTTAGTGTTGGTGTTACCAGAGTTTAGGAAAGTAGGGGGATTATTATCGCTACGCTGAGGAGATGCAGGGGGAGGGAAAGAGAAAGGACCTTCTCTGTTCATCTAAAACTTCACTTTAAGACGCAACCATGGGAAACCGCTTCTGCAGCCAGGATGGTTCCACCAGAAGCAACCGTGAAAGGTGGAGGTTTCCACGTCTGGGAGCAAAGTCACTCAAACCTCCACTGATCATATAAAATCCACACATCTACCCACATTTATCTTTTATTACAAATATTAATTTATTATGTCAAAAACAAAAAACTGTGGGATTCCAGCAGAAGAAAGAGAAGAAAAAAAATGTGTGAATTCTGCAGAACAGCTGAACAGAAAACGACCCAAACTCTTCATTTCTTACCGGCAGCAGGAGCCGCAACATTTGCCGCAGAGCCAAGATATTTATCGGATCACTTTTTAGAAGCACTTCCTGCAAAGTTGATCCGCTTTGCAAATGTTTTAAAACATGCAAACCTTGAGTAGATCTGAGTCCAAGCAGAGCAGAAACCTGACAATGCAGATGAGTTTGAGGGTAGCATTTCCAGCATAGAACGTGACAGCAGAGGGACCAAACAGTCAGGATGCTTTTCTCAGCAAGGAAAGGAAGCCGGACAGTTTCACTATTAGCAGGACAAACCTTTAAGCAACGTCCAGCCTGAAATCCAGTGGAACAGTTTTAAACAAAGCACAGCTTTGTGCTAAAACAGCTCAGCATCAGACCCACAATGATAGAAAAATATCTTTATAGATGTTATCTATCCAACCTGGAGGACAAACCCCAAAATAAAAACCTTAGGAACCATTTAGCTTCCTTCCTCCTTTTAATGTTGGACAAAGATGTGTTAAAATTTAGGTTTAGAATGTTAAAAGTTATGAGGTGTTAATACTTTTACAAGAGGAGATGTGTTTGTTTGAATCTAGGAAGAAATTAATAAAATGATCTGTTCCAGTTCCCCATTAAAAGCTCACGGTTAAATCAGCATAACAGTGACTGTGGTGGTGTGAAGCTATTCTTATCATCGCACCACTTTGGCTTTTCTGACTCATCCAGCAACAGGGTGACATTTCTCACCATGCAGTGAGGAGCCTGTTTTCCTTCTAATGACGCAACAGACAGACTAAAGACGACTCGCTGACCCAGGAATAAACAATACGCTGCTAATCCCACCAAGAAACGCCTCCAAAATGAGCTCATCAGTCATTTTAAAAAGCAGCATCACGGCTCATTTGGAAAAGGAGGAAAACATCTATGATTAGCAGAGACAGAAAATCCTGACAGTAGAATTTATATATAGAAGTTGATCCTTAATGTTTGTCGACGTTTGAGATAAACTTATCAGAGTTCAATTGACATTTAGTAAGTTTTTACTGAAAAACAGATTTTTTAATTTGACCCTTTAACATTTTTAATTCTATTCAGTTTATTTCTATAGCTCCAATTCACATCATGTCATCTTAGGTCACTTTATAGATCCAGATCAACCAGATCATCCAGTCAGATTGATTCAAAGTTTTCTATCTAAGGAAAACCAGCTGATTGCATCGACTCATTGACTCTTCAGCAATCCCTCACACTAAGCATGCTTGTAGCGACAGTGGAGAGGAAAAACTCCCTTTGTACAGGAAGAAACCTCCAGCAGAACCAGGCTCAGTGTGAGCGGCCATCTGCTGAGGCCCACTGGGGTTCAAGGAGACAGAAGCAGACATAGAAAAAGAAGCATAGATACAAAAGGCAACTGTCAACCAGCTCCACAGGCGGCCCCGTCCAGGAAACACACAGCCAGGCAGAATAAAACATGTTTTAAATGATGCCACAGTAGTTCAGCACGATGCATCTTTCAGCCTATTATCAGGTCAGAAGTTCCTGCGCTGGTCTGCGCCTCCATGTTAGACGGGTCAAACCCAGCAAACTATCCAAGTGTTACATTCAGGTTGGCTTCTGTGGACAATTAGAAGCGACTGACATCCAGATCAGCTCAGATCCCAATGGAAACTCCAGGAAAGTTGGAAAAAGGAAAGCTGGAGCAAGACAATGAGCAGTACTGTTTTTTGGCAACAGGTGGCAGCATCATTAGAAAACAGCCATTAAAACCAGCATTTCAGAAAACTACTCTAAATGCTTTAAAGTCTCAGTGGCAGCCTAACGCGTCGCTCAGTGGCCATCTTTAATGCCTGCTTAGCCTTACGATGCTATGATGGTAACAGACGCATTGAGAAAGCAGCCTTTGAAAGGAGTTTCTGAGCATCACAAAGACGCAGCATTAGGTGGTTACTCACCCTCCACACATGAAAAGGTCAGTGGACGGGCGGCAGCCGGCTCCTGCTGGGTGGTCGTCTGTGGAGGAGGACAAAACAGCCAAGTATGAGGACTATGATGGTACGGAACGCAGAGTTCAGCTGGACGGATAGAAGCAGGTCCTGACAGACTTCAGGACCATCACCCGCGAGCGGCTACGCAGCGGTTGATTTTATTAGCCATAAAAGTTAGCGTGTGGCCTGTTGTAGCATAGAGGCAGTGTTTGAACTGATGCACCTCCTGTCTGCTGTTTATTCCCTTCCTAAAGGTGGCTGCTGAGAATAAAAATGGGCAGTTTAGTGTGACTGGGAGCAGCTGAGCAGGTGAGGAACAGCAGCACCAGGATGGAGCTGGACCTGCTGCTTAAAGGGTTAAACGCAGCGAGCTCAGGATTCCCAGCACCGATAAACCCTGACCTGTTAGCAGTCAGTACGTCTGAAGATTAGAGATGCCTCAAGTTTAACCTGCAGACAGAAATCTGTTGATTTTCAGCCTGATCAGTCCTGGGTGACGATGGGAGCAGCTGGAAACTCAAAGATCTGCTCACTGAAAGCCTCGAACTAAACGCTCTCACAGGACTCTGAGCTGCTGCAGCTATTGGCCGAGTCTCCTTCACTCATCTTTGACCTGTTAGCAGCATTTCAGAGCAACATGCTGCAGATCCTGGAGCATAAGATGCTAAAACTCAAAGCAAAGGAGAGATGCATTGTAAAAAAAAAAAAAGAAAAATGTAATAAATGTGTAATAATATTGGATACTAGGGCTGGGTAATTAATTGCATTTGCAATAAAATCACTAAGTAATGAAATTAAATTTTAAAATCGCAGAGGCACTTTAATCAAAGTGTAACCGACTAACATCAAGATTTCACACTGCAGCTTTAGGTAGCAGTAAAACACTTAAAGGAGGTTTGCAGCCACAGAAAGTCAGAGAGAGCTGCAGTTACCATGCAGATCCATGCGTGCAAGTAGAAGGAAGCACTTTTTTACACAAACGTTACACTAAAATCAAGCAACAATGGGCTACTTTCCAGCAGGCTTGCGATGAAACATCTATAAGCTTCCAGTTATATGCAACCCGTCTGCCACAGAACATGATGGGTTAGGAGATGTTGGATCTATACCAAGGTTTGATATCAACTTTGGTAGGGACACTATTGGTCTTTAGTTTCATTGGTCTGATGTCATTGGTCCTGTACAAAAATATTCACGCTCTTTTTTTATGCTTGACGTGAGCATCAGGGTACAGTTAGTTTAAAGCTACATTTATACAAATGTTATAACACTACACTCACTAGATGCTGTTTATCAATGTTTGAAGCATCAACAGGTCTGATGAATTGAGACTTTTTCCACTCGGAAAAGGGTTGCATTGGAGTTTATCAGCGACTAAGAAGAAGGTAAATACAGCAGGTACCAGGCAGCGAAGTTGTGAGAGGAAAAGAAGCAACTGCTGTCACAATTTTTACTGTAAATTATAAACATGTTATTCACCTGNTTTTTACTGTAAATTATAAACATGTTATTCACCTGTAATTGTTGGTAGGAACAAATAGATCGGTCCAAAATTTTGGTAGGGACATGTCCCTATGTTCCCTATGCAAACCTACGCCCATGGGATCTACATCCACTAAAACTAGGATTTTGAAATCAAATTATCAACAATTTATCTGTATTTATCAGCAGAAAGCATGTATGAATCTAAGTAGCAGTAGTTCTATCAAGGCTCAGGCCTTAAATAACTTTGCTTTGGATACTTACAGCTCTCAGTTGAGATGTTAGGAACCAGAACAAAATCGTCTGTGTCACAGGAGGAGTTCTTGCTGCTGGTGCTTCCTGCAGACTCTTTGGACAGCTGCAGGAAGTTGGGCGGACCCATCGGAGGAGATGACAGACCGTCCTCAGTCAGAGTCTGCATGTCTGGAAGAGACTGTGTTCAGATGGAGAGAAGAATGAGAGGTGTTAGCCTTTGGTTAAATAACGGCTCTGTGTTCACAATGGTTGAGAAGAAGAGGCCCACAGCACCATGGAACAATAACCCATCAGACTCACAGGAGGGGAGCTGTAGCGGATGGATGGAGAGGAGCTGCAGGAACCTTCTGCGGCGGCGGCGCTGGGGACGGGTACTGGACATGCTGAGGGAGACGTGCTGCCGTTAGTTAACATTTTACTGCAGCGAGGATTCCCCAGAGAAAAACCTTTCAACTCACATTTTTTAATTGTGGACGATGGTTCCAAGAAAGGATGGCTGAAAAACGTGTCTGCAGAGAGAGGAAGGTCAAAGGTCAGAGCATGAAAGCTTCTAAACATGCCTGAAGGCTGCAGAGCCCCGATTCAGAGGCCACACCCACCAAAGTCCATCCGCTCCTTCTGATTCCTCTGCAGCAGGCCGAGCAGCAGGTCACCGAGCTGAGGAGACGTCTCCCGCGGGATTCTGCACAACCAGAACATCAACACCAGCGTTAAACAACCAACAGATCAAATGGGAGCAGAGACGTTTAAACCGTTACAGTTCAGAGAAGAGAGCAGCTGGATGATCTAAGAGCAGCTAAACTTCCTCTGGGCTGTTAGTTCCTGGTTAAATCTGTTAAAGGGTGATAGAATGATTCTATAGGGTATCTGGTCCTTCAGGTCTCTAATAGGGTGATAGAATGATTCTATAGGGTATCTGNATAAAGGTTAAAAAACGTAAGAAAATCTGAGTTAAAATGTCATCTGAACATAAAACTAAATTGAAATAATCTTGATATAAATAAAATCCTCTATATTTAACTCTCATCACTAAATGTGACATTTAAAACATCAATTAAATACATTTTTATGGTTTTCTGTTATGAAAAAATAAATAAATTAGAGACATCAGCATATCTAATACCGGCATATGACTCATTTCAGTCATTTCTTTTTCTAACCGTCCATCTAATTTTTTCACTGGAAACCGATCACAGCAGCTTCTTTATTCCAGCTCAGCCAACCGAAAAACTCTAATCATAGATCTATGGGATGTAGATGTGCAGCTCTTTTAACTTCTAGTTTTTGTTTTGTTTTTTTAATAATCCAACTTATTTCCAACAAGCAAAGCAAAAGTCTAGCCGCCTCCTCTCTGTGTAGCAACGCGTGGGGGACGGGCAGTGTTCCATGTTTTTGACGTTTTAAAGCCTGGCTGCTTTAATCAGGGTAACAAACTTGAGTCAATGTGCACGTTCTGCTCTGTGCGGTGAAACTAGTCACTGCTTTGAACATCATTGTAGAATTTAGCAGCCGTTTCCCTCCATAAACAAACAGGCTCCTAAACATGCAGCTTTCCCTCCAATGCAGCATCCCTAACTTTGTTTTGATCCATGATAATCTGTGTGTCAGGCACACAGATTAGCAGAAGCTTACCTTGCAGATAGTCGGCAAGATCCCCTCCGTTGCAGTACTGTGAGGAGAAAAACACCATCAGGAGACATGAACAACTTTCCTCTCATTCAACAGCAGGGAGAAAGAAAACGGGGGAAAAGGGAGGATGAAAGCTGCAGAGCCACCTGCAGGTTGAAGGTGAAGGATGAGGATGATCAACCATTCAATAACAGGTTTTAATGGTAGCAGCTCATTGATGAGGACAGGAAACACGTGAAGCAGAAAACACAGGAAGTGGACAGAGAGCAGGAACAAGTGGACAGAGGGATGCATCAAGTCAGACATTGAACCAACTCATGATACAACAAATATGAAGAGTGGATGGGTCACAGAACCAAGCTACTCTGACTGGATGCCAAAGAGGAAAGAAAAAGCGTAAACATCCAGAGCCGAGTTTCTAAACTTACTTCCATGACCAGGAAAACGGAGCTGGGAGTTTCCTGGAAGAGAGGAGACAGAGAATCAGTAAGAGGAGCCATTTGTCCTCAAGCACCTGTCCTCTTCACCGTGGAAACAGAAATAAAGCAGACGGTACCGACACAGAGCTGAGAGCCTTTTAGTAATGCTCAGGTTTCTCTACATCTACGTCCAGCAGTTTGATGCCCTTAAGATACAGACTTCGATAGCGACATAAACTACAGCAGCAGCTCTGCAGCTTTCCAAGCTGCCAGGATCTAGTTTTTTATCCAGACACTTAAAAAACCACATGCAGGAATGGACTCGGTTCTAGTTCCTTATATCTATGGGGTCAGTTTGATAGAAATGATTTGGCTTAAAACATTTCAGATGACTTTTTTCCTCAGACACACAGGAATCCATTTTGGATCTATTGGCTTAGTTCTTCTCAGACCAGAATCTGGTGGAAATAGAAACTAGTTAGCAGCTCTAAGAGCACGTAGATTCGGTCCAATCAGAAGCCACCTCTATGTACATGGAGCTGCTCCATGTTTCCCAATCAATCAGGTGATTTCTCCATCTGCTGCTGGGGGGGTGGGTTGTATGTGTCCAATAGGGCTAAAGGCAGATTGCATAATGGTTATGGCTGTCAGAACCACGCTGCTCTACATCCCAGCATTAATCTATCCTCTGATCCTCTGCTGGAGTAAAGCGAAGCCAGCAGAGGAAGTAGTTCACAGGACGCCCTTTGTTCGCCGTTAGAGGAAGCAGCAGTTAAACGTTATGAAATGATAACCAGGCGCCCTGTTTTCTGGGGGATTTTTGGCTACAGATGGCGAGCCGCCAGCTAAGGGCGGGGCCCAGAAACGAGCGTGAAATCCTCCAAAACAGCCACCTGTCCTCGGAGCACGCTCACGGTCACACAGTGGTTTCACAAGCAGCTCAGAGCAACAGGCTGAGTTATTGTGTCACAGTCCAACAGGAGCAGCTGAGGGTTATGCAACGGCATGTGGGAAAGCAAACGCTGCAGCCAGGAGATGTTTGTGTACAACTGGCAGCAGCTAGTGAGCAGTGTGCAGCAGAAGCCTGTTGATGTCACACCAACGTCACCCCGTGTTCTGAACAGCTGACAGTGGTGAGCAGGAAAACACGGCCAGAGATGGTCTCCTCTAAACCATCTGGAAACCCAACCTCTGGAGGAACGCAAACAGAGCCGGGCTTTCTAGGAAAAGTTAACTGCTCCCAGTTCCACTAAACAGAAACATTCGTCCCATTTCCAGTTCTTCTCCCCTCAGCTGAGCCACATTATGCAACCAGCAGGGACTGGGCCGTAAAAACAGAAGGAACGCTGACTGCGTCTGCTGGACTGTTTACATCTTTCTGTATCCTGTGATTTGGATGAGGGTTGGGGCACAGTGAAAGAATACAAAGAAATACTAACACTGGTGGCCAGTCTGTGTCATTTAGGGAGAACCTTTCACTGTCATTTAGGGCCATCATAAAGGGGGAACCATCGCCGTCGTTTAGGCAGAGCCGTCGATTAGGGGTAGCCGTCGCCGTCGTTTAGGCGGAGCCGTCGCCGTCGTTTAGGCGGAGCCGTCGCCGTCGTTTAGGCGGAGCCGTCGCCGTCGTTTAGGCGGAGCCGTCGCCGTCATTTAGGCCCATCATTTAGGCGGTGCCATAGCCGTCATTTAGGCGGAACCCTCGCCGTCATTTAGGCGGTGTTTTTAATTGTTTTCCATGTGGTTTTTAAACGGATAATCTTTGTTTATCACTTAGTCTTGAAAATGTAGCCTAATATTAAAATAAAATCATTTTACTGTCAAGTTCTAGACCATTTTATGCTCCATTGCAAGATACATTAAAAAAAATACATATTCATCTTTACTATTTTTTCAGAATTGGAGGCATATTCATTTTTAAAGGTATATCAGATCCCCTGATATACATCATCAAATCAACATGAGAAATAATTATTAGGCTTTTAAAGCACATCTTGTCTGTTCTTATAGATTTAATCCATTTTTCTCCTGGTTTTCCTTAGATAGAAAACTTGGAATCAATCTGACTGGATGATCTGGTGAACTGGAAAGTGACCTGAGATGACATGATGTGAATTAGAGCTATAGAAATAAACTGAATAGAATTGAATTCATAAAAGGCTCAAATAAGAAAAGCGGTTTTTCAGTAAAAACTTACTAAATGTAATTTTAACTCCAGTTAGTTTATCTCAAACGTTCATGATGTGAATTGCAGCTATAGAAATAAACTGAATAGAATTGTAAAAATCCTTAGAGGGTTTCAGAACATTTCTGAAATCAGAACACCTGAAGGTCACATGATGGAGTCACTACTACATTAGGATCAAAGTCTGCTGATAGGGACATTAACTGTGCTTTATTATGCTCTGATTCAGGGAATTATAAAGCTGAAAACCACACTGAGCTCAGGACACACTGTATGATATTTTCAAATTAAATGACTTAAATCCAATAACAACCCTGTAAGAAACGCAGCATGCTAAGTGCTAACAGGCTAACAACAAGCTAATGGCGGCGGCTGGTTTCCATCATGTCACCAGTGGAAGTTTTTCCATAGATACAAAACCAGAGTGGTGCAGAACTGAAGTATTAATTTTGCTGGGAGAAATAAATTAAGTATATAAATAATTGTGTAATGAATTTTGAACAGGAACCAAAGGGAATAGAAGGTTGAAATCATGTGGAAAAGGGAAACCGTTTCTCTGCAAAACATTTCTCAGATTCAAGATCAAAACAAACTAAATTAAAACTAACGAGGTAAAGGGACGCGTTGGTAATGACTTATTTAGGCTAAACGATTGCTAATAGGTAGCATCAGCGGACCTTGAAGCCATCTGGCAAACGGTAAAAGCAGGTGAGGGCGCCACCTCCTGGATAGGAGGAGCTGTAGCTATCAGAGCTCCTAAAGAAGCACATCGTTTGGAACGTCTCCTAGTAAAGGGAAGATCTAAAAGACCTAGATATAACGCTGCTTTAGTCATGTTAGCACTCAGCCAACATCAGATCAAATGTGAATAAAAATTCCTCACCGCCCCGCCCAGCACCGCCCCGCCCAGCCACGCTCCACCCCGCAGCGCTAGAGATTGCCTGCGCAAAGCAAAGCCTACAGCCTCCGCTGTTCCTACCATCCTGCTCCGCTCCGACTTCCTCTGAGCTGGAGGAGAACATGCACTATATTATTATTAAATTCATAGGAGCAAAACATGCGGAAATTAAGCTTAATCTAATATGACAGCTTAAAAAAATGCCCATCAGCATCCAGCATATAAACAGTTTCTGCCCAAATATTTTCGTTTTGTTGTGATTTTTGTAAGATGGATAACGAGGATCCTCCATGGTTTGGATGAACTATGTTTGTTCTCTATCTCCAAACTAAGCTTCTCTTCATTCATGCCTGAGATTAGAGTTTATTTTGACTGAAATTGATTCAACTTTTAAACCCCTTGGTATAAAAATCAATATTTTGATGGAGATGAGAAATCTGCTTCCTGGTCTGTTGAAGAACCAATAGTCTTCATCCAATCATCTAATGAAACGTTCTTTGATTTTGGGAATATAGAAGAATTATGCTCTGATTTGTAATTACTTATAATTTGACAAAAAAGATCTCCTTGCTGTTCTTTTTCCTGTTTGGTGCGATTGGAATTGCGGATCTTGACCTGGCCGGACCGGAGCGGAGATAAAAATAGTTCAGCTCTGGATTTTGACGGACGGAGACGAGTGGAGGAGTAGCGGCGGATGTGGAGCAGCTCTCACTGATTAACATGACGGACAGGTACTCTGCACGTGCATGACGTACGTGAGCGGGGCGGAGCGCCGACGCAGTGTGTGGAATCGAGGCGTCAGGCTACAGACCACTCCCTCATGGCAGGAAGCTGGTGGTAAATCTTCTGATCTTGCAATGATTTTAAACTGATTGAAATCATCAGAACCCCTAAAATTTTACTGAGCTGGTTCCTCACTCATGGAAATCAGCTTCAAGCCACTCCCACCCACCCCGAGTCTTTACACTTACCTGAACGTCATAAAGAGCCACGATGTTTTCATGCTGCAGTTCCTGAGTAAACAGAGCAGAGAGAGAAAGGTCAGCTTCCATGACCCAGGTCACCATCAGGTCACCATCAGGTCACCATCAGGTCCCCGGCCATCCGCCTCACCTTCAGGATTTTGATTTCCTTGCCCAGGAGGATCTGTGACTTGGACAGGTTCTTCTTATTGATGCTCTTGATGGCCACCTCCCAGTCGGTTTTCTTCCCAGCACAGAGGAGAAAACATGTTAGAGAACATCCTCATCCGTCTCCAGACCACAGCTTACAGGATCATTTATCAAAGACTTCATTTGTTCCACTGCTTCCTGCGTGTCTGAACTTTTCAGATGGTTTTTTTCAGACTAGAGCAACATAACCCCCCTGCTGGGCGCCTCAAGCATCAGCCCTAATCCAGGAGAGGCCTCCTGGTTCATGGTGCTGCTGAGCGATGCCTGGAAGGTGGAAGGAAACGCTTAGCATCAGGTCACTTGGCTTTGCGCCTTCTGAGGCGCAGAATGAAGAGGCAGAGCAGGCGTCAGCCTACTGACCCTATTTTTTGTACAAAAAAAATAGACCCTAAACTACCTCAACGAGCGTGAAATTTAATTACTCACTTTTTGGTGTTTTTTGAAGCGTATGGTGATCTGACTTTAAATTTTATTTTCTACATGACTAAAGGGATACACGCCCGTTGAGGTAGTTTAAAGTTTATTTTTCGTACAGAACTAAATGGATCAACACAAATGACGTCTTGCTCATGGGTATTGACTATAGGTATGCTGGTGTGACAGAACGCCTTCATATGCAGCAACCAGCTCAAGAATAAGCCTCTGAAACAAACGATCTGGAAATGTTGATCAGAGCAGGAACACAGAGAGGAGAGGCGGCCTGCAGCAGAATCTAGGTTAATAGGAGATGTTCCTGCTGATGCTGAAGTCAGCCTGGAGGCGGGCAAAGGACCCAGCATGCAACGGAAACACGCTGGGTTATTATGGTCTGCAGAGTCATCCTGGGGAAAAAAAGGAACAGCAGCCAGCTCCCACTTCCAGAATAACCGATGACCTCATTCATGAATCACAGCTGATGATGGTTGGATGAGCATCAATAGGGAGGAAGAAACGGCAGAAACCAGACAAGACACTGGGAAAAATTGATAAGAATATCATTAACAACATCTGGAGGATTCAGAGATATTTTAAGATGTTAATAAAATGCAATAGAAGATGGGAGCCTTTATCCATTCTGCATTCAGTTTGACAATGTAGGCGTGAGAGGAAAGGTTTCCATGTGGAAGAAATGACCTGACTTAGTGGAACCATGACTGATTCCTCCATTCACAAATGACAGGAGGGCGGCCAATCACAGCACATTTTCAGACCTTCATATCTGGTGAGTTTCTGCAGCAGCGCGGCCTGAGCGGCTTTAGGTCCATTACTTTAACCCTTTATAGGCCGCTCAGGGAAATACTCTGAAAATTAAACATTTTCAGCCAATAGTGTTATTAGAATCCAGGACAAGACCGTATTATCTTTGGAACATTAAAAAAATATGGATATTCTGATGGTAAAAATGAAGGTCAATGTAAAAACAAGAGACGCCAACTTGCCCGAATGTATTAAGAAAATTAACAAAAGTGCTTCTAGAAGAAATTCATGAAAAAAACTCCTGAGAGTGAAATAACCTTACAGGCATTAAAGCTGATACTGGCACTGACATTTTTAGTATAATTGTTAACTTGGCTTATTAACTTTTCAATTAACTTTTTTTCTTGACTTGTTAACTTTTTTTTCTCCAGTAGATAATCTATCATTCAAGGATTCATCTAATTGGTCAAATGCCAAAATGAGATGTACAGCCATGTAGCAAAATCTTTGCTGAATGGCTGGATATAGATCTTTAGCTTCTAGACCTCACTGAGGGACGGGGGGATGGAAAACGCTTAACTTGCCCTATAAAGGGTAAAGAGCGTTTAAACCACAGGCAGTCATAAAGCAGGACAGAGGGACCAACTTCAGCTTCATTCATTGATAAACCAGATCTATGGGGTGAAAATTAGTCCTTCCTGAACCTTAAAGCCTTTGTGGTTTTATCTGACCTCCAAACTGGATAAACTTTCATCCTGCAGCCCCCCAGGGACCCTGATCCCTCCTCATTTAAACCAAGAGGCTTTTTTCCTGCTATATTTGGAGGAAATATGGATCAATCCATCCTTCAATGGTCAGGATCATTAAAACCACCTCCCAAAAACTTCTAGATCTTTAGAAAGATTATGCTTTGGTTTTATGGCTTTAAAGATTTTGGATTCCTAAATTATTTTATTTACATTTAGCAGTTTTTGATTATTTAAAAAAAAAAAAAAACTCCAAATACACCACCCCATCTTCTAATCCCTTTTGTTGATAAAATCAAAACAACACCTAACAGCTTCTTGTTCATTAAAACATTTCCTAATCAGTGCAGGGCTGCAGAGGACACGCTGCACATCTCCTGCAGGAATCTGGGTGCAGGTCGCCCACCAGTCCATCAGAAAAACAGGAGGATTTAAGAGAAAGAAGTGGATGCAGACAGGCTCCATTAAGGACTTAAACCAGGGATTTTCTATCATACCAATGGCTGCAAAATGCTAAGATTGCACTGAAAAAGTCAGAACCTCCTGACTAAACAAGTTTTCTGTCCTTTTAGGTTTATTTTAGAGTGGCTGCATAGTGGTTAGGGCACAGACCTGGAATCCTGAGGTTCTGAGTTCGAGCCCCGATCCTTAGAGCATGTTTTCTACTCTATCTTGTAAAATTCACTTTATCTGCTGCTAAATGCTGTGATAAATGTTGGAGTGATGGCCTAGTGGTCAGAGCACTAGTGGTAACAGCTCTGAAAAGTTTGCAAGTACCCGGTTTGATCCTGCAGCCTGCACTCCAGGTCCTTAAACCTCACACTGCTCCCCGAGTGCCGCACCATGGCAGCCCACTGCTCCCCAAGGGGAGGGGTTAAATGCAGAGGGAATTTCTCCACTGTGGATCAATAAAGTTCAATTATTATTGTTTTCCCTTATGGGCCTGTGTGTCATGTCTGGTCAGTAGTTCTGCCTCCATATCTTCTGAAAGTCTGAATAGTGTGTGGAAGAAGCAACGGATCACAGCTCATTTAAAACTCAACATCCTGAGAAAGGAGGCAGTCAGGAGGTCCTGACCTTTATGGAGAGCCTGCTGCAAATAGGTTGGACTGCATCATTCAGGTGTTATTATATAAAACCACAGAGGCCAACATGGCGGCCTGCCTGCATCCATGCATGGCTTCTAGCAACAGGAGCATCTGAGCTGCCTGATGATGGAGACCCTGATCATTCTGTGCATGCACTGGTAGTGTGCATGCACTGGTGGAGTGTGCATGCACTGGTAGTGTGCATGCACTGGTGGAGTGCATGCACTGGTAGTGTGCATGCACTGGTGGAGTGCATGCACTGGTAGTGTGCATGCACTGGTGGTGTGCATGCACATTTTCTCTGCTGCATCACAGATGCATCTCCTCAGTACCGCAATGCTTCACGGGGGTCAGGTTTATTTTCCAACTCATCATCTGATCCTGTTTTTAGGTGAAGCATGAATGAACTCTGAGCAGCTGTTATATAAGCTGGGCCTGGATGGTGAACGAGGAAGCTCCTCCCACCTCTGCACGTCACTCCCTGCTGCCTGACTCATCCATTTCATGAATTAACTAATTATATAAATAATCGATTACAGCCAACAAAGTAAATGGAATGAAAAAAAGAGCAAACAGCTGTTTGCATCTGGATCTTCGGCTGAGAGGATCAGATTATTTTATTTATTATTCTCTTCTCTTTACCTTCCTGTGTCTCCCCTTGAACACCACCGCGAAGGCTCCATGTCCAACCAGGTCCTTCCTGCTGTACTCAAAGTCTCCCACCGTTTCCATGGTGACAGGGCCAGGAGACCCGACCCTGGATCTGCTCTCCTCACAGGAGGAGGAAGGAGTCCGCTCCCTGCCTCACTGAGGAGTCATGGCAGCTGCTCCGATGTTTCCTTCAGGTGTGAATCAGGGATGAGCGGCGGGATGTCCTACATCAACCGATCGGTTAGCATCGGTGCTTAGCTTAGCTTAGCCGCGTCCGTCCGTCTGTCTGTGACCCAGATGCTCAGCGGATGATTGTCTACATGATGTGGACCTGATCCTGGATCAGCTGCAGAGCGCTGCCTTAGCGGCTACAGCTAGCCTCATAGCTGCTCTCCACAGCTAACAATAACATGAGCCCAACAGGCCACCGTCCCTCTGAAACACCAACAGAAACCACAAACATCAGCGAGCAGGTTGCAGTTCAACACTCGGCTTAAACATCCCAACAATAAAACGTTTAAACGTCAACATTGGGCGCGTGCGCGGAGCATCTTCCCTCCGCTGTAAAACAAAACTGAATCTTTCCTCTGAGCGACAGCTTCAATAATTCATTACTTTATGTCCCAAACTGCTCATTAAAGCAGCGAAGATAAACCGCGAGGCTCCAGGATGTCCCTCTGTCCCACTGTCCACCTGTCCTTCTCTCAGTCAAACAACAATAGCCAGAAATAGAGCCATGTTCAGCTTTTATACGCTGCCCACCGCGGAACACGCGTGATGTCCTTCCGCCGCAACATCTAGTCCCTACAGAAGCAAGATGAAATACGGCTAAAACACAAATCAGATATTTATAATCTCAGCTGCTCTACTTTATAACGCGTGATTTACTGTTTATAAGACAGCCTACACGCTGTGACTCATTAATGAAGGTACACAGCCATGTTGCTCAAGTCAATTTAAAGGCTTATTTATAAAAAAAAAGGCTTGGGAAATATGAATACATATATAATAAAATGTAAACAGTCCTACAGAGATGCAACATGGCACACTTTGTAAAACAATTTATCTTAAACAACAGCAACAAAAATGATAAAACAGAGGAACAGAATTAAGGTTTGGCGACCTCTAGTGGCAGAAAATAAAAGTGTCAAAACGTTCAGGGGGGTTTAAGAGTTTGACTGTAAAATGTCCCAAAGAGGAAACACTTTGAATGCTTTATTACTCTATAGAACATATTTTTCTAGACTGGGTTCAGAGGAAGGATTTTGGGTTGGATCTATGCCGCTGAGCTCATCGACCTTTAATGAAGAAAAGTTGAAACATTCTGTAATAAGGGGATAGAAAAATGGCTCAAATGTCCATTCTTCAGTCATGACTGAGGCATCACTTGACATAAAGCCCCGGATCATCAGTTGCTATGGAAACGTGTTGCTCTTCCCAAGGCAGAGATATGAACTCTTTCAGTGGGAGGGTACCGGACACATGATCCAGGATCACCTCTTTCAGATTTGGATTTCTCGCCGGCACCTAAAGGTCAAAGCATCCAAATTTTGGATGATGCTTCTTTTTAACACATCTGAACCACTTTTGTTTTTTCTGTTAAGCTTTATGCATCTCTAATGCAATGACTCTCAGATAGCTTCTCCCTGTTTGCTCAGGAAAAAAGAATATTTGTCAGGATTAGTGATCTAATGAGGAGCTATTATTTCATCCAAATGAAAAATGGAGAACAGATAAGCAGATCATGGCTTGTCTACAGTGAAAAGAAGGACTGGGTTATTTACTTTGGCCTTTTTGGAAACACAGGAAGGAGCAATCAGCTAAGTGAGCTTAGTGCTTGGAAAAAATCTTTCATTCCTTTAGAGACAGCATGAAAAGTCAGCTGAGTACAAAACATAGAGAGGAAAACAAGAAGAAAAGGGACAAGAAGAGAGGGACACAACCTAGAACAGATAATGGATGTCTACTCTATTAACATTTCTCTATCTGGAGAATGGGGCTGTTCTGAGTTGTCTTCTCCATTCAGAGGGCCCCCTGCCTTTCTTTGCCTTGGGCCCCAAATTCCCTAAATCCACCCCTGGAAACACGCAGAAAAACAACACAAAATACCAATTGTATTACCTCTATAGCTAGAACACAGCTCACTCCATCAGCTCTGACCCATGCAGAGTCACATGTGGTTCTGGAGCCGCAGGTCACTGGTCTGGTGTCAGTCCCAGGATATTTTTGCTTCAAAGCTAGACATTAAACGAGTAGAATACGTTTACACAGTTTGGACCAGAGAAACATGAAGATGAACCTAGAACAGCAAAAGAATACACATCCAATGATCAGCACAGGGAGACCTGACTGAAGACCCAGGGTCACACAAGTGAAGGAAATCAATAAAAGAGAAAAGCAGGACAGAGAAACCGCCTCACAAAAAGAACAAAATGACAGATCATAAAACAAAAACAACCAAAGTTCCTCCAGCTCAGTAAATAATTCCTCTGAGTGTTTTTAGGAGTCATCCACAAAGCTGGAACCTTCTGCAGATAAACAAACCAGGATTACGTAATATCTGAGGGACCCAGTGGTGCAGTTTCTATCAGGAGGTTCAGCTGCCAGTCACAGCAGCAACACCACTGATTTTCCTCATTTCACTCTTCTTTTAGGATCACTGATGGTTTCCAGAGCTCCAGTCTGGTGACAGTGAAGCTCTCTGGCA